GGATGGGTGTCATTTTTTAAATAATCCCATGATCGGGACGGGACAGGAAAAAAAAGCAACAGGAGCGGGCAGGAGCGGAAACAACATTAATAGATTATCATTTTCAGCCGTGTTAAACAACCAGATGAACAGATGCGTCCATTTTTGTAGTCATCTCTCAGTGAGAGCCAACACTCTTGACCGTGCTAGCAACACAAAAGAACTACAACAGTGGTTTGACTTCCTGTCACCACTGGAAGTAAAAAGCGACTCGGAGCAGCTGCCGGCGACACACATAACTGATGTAGTTCTCCCATGTTACCTAAACAAGCGTATATACATATAGAGTAGCGGTTCTAGGCACGGGCGAACCAGGCAGCCGCCCTGGAGGGCATTTGTGTCATGACTCGGGGGGCAGCACAAGCACTTTCAAAAAAGAAAGAAAAAAGATAATAATAAATCTGCACCGCAAAGCAGTTTTGTATTAACTCTTGTCAGACTGGCGCCCCTTGCTGCTGTAGGCGCTTCTGCTTGCTGCGAAGGTGCCGCACAGAGGCTGACAGACTGTATGAGACGAAATGGGAAGAGGGTGGCGGGGGACAGCTCTGCTCTCAGGATTACTCTCACTCTGCCAGTCACAGTGGCTAAAGCAGAGAGGAGCTTCTCAAAACTGCAGTTGATAAAGTTGTACCTAAGGTCAACCATGTCTCAGGAACGGCTCACTGGCCTTGTCGTCATCAGCATCAATCACTTAACCCATTTAAACTGGGACAGCATGTACGCATATCAGCCTTCCAGTGTGGATACTGTAACGGGTATTGACTGGACCCAACTGCAGCACAAACAAGCAGGTTCACTTTAACAACAGTCTTTATTGAACACCAAATCCAATGAAGCAGCAGAGTATAGCAGGTGGGTATGGCAGGATTCGAACTCGGGTCTTCCGGGTGATAGGCGAGCAGAATAGCAGTGGACCACAGGTCAGGCAAGAGTTTTGAACTCGTGAGCAGGGAATTGTCCACAGTCTTAATTTGCTCTACGAGTGTAGTGAAGGGGAAAACGCTCAACTCACAGCTGGAAGAAGATTTCTTGGAGAGTGGTTCAGGTGAGGACTGGGTGAGGATCCAGAGCTTGCAGAGGAGCTGGCAGAACCAACGTCGGCAGAGGAGGTGAGTTGGCGAGGTGAAGCTGACGAGAAGGGGGATCTCAACAGAGCAGGAACAGGCTGAGTGACATTCAGCTGCAGGCAGACGAATAGCAGGAACCAGGCAGGCAAAGCTCGTAGTCAAGGACAGAAGGCAGGTAGGTTTACCGGGGCTGAGGCGAGAAGCAAAGGTCAGGGGCAGATCAGGTCGATACCAGGTAAGCAGTCCGAGGATAAACGCTGGAGAGTCAGGCATGAGAGCAAAGACAATCTGGCAAAGAGTGAGGGGAAAGAAGCTGCACATATACTGGCCTAATTGGAGATGATGAGCAGGTGAGAGCAGCAGGTGGAAGCAGTTAGCTGATGAGGGGTGTGGCTGAGCAGCAGAGCAGGAGAGGGCAGAGCAGACTGTTACAGAACCCCCCCCTCAAGGGTTGGCTCCTGACATCCCAAAGGTTAAACTGGGGGTGGGGGGGGTGGGCCTAAAACTCCTGGGAGCAAGACCTTGTCATCTCTTCAGCAGGGTGGGTGGAGGGGGTCAGGAGGAGGGTTTCTCGACGGGCTGACTCATTGGCTGGCTGGTCAGGATGTTGCCGATGAAAGTTGGCCACGAGGTTGGGGTCCAAAATGTGGCGAGCAGGAACCCAAGATCTCTCCTCAGGACCGTAACCCTCCCAGTCCACAAGGTACTGGAGCCCCCTACCCCGCTGCCGAGAACGAATTAAGCGGCGCACTACATACACCGGACCGCCGTCGACCATTCGTGGAGGGGGAGGTAGTGGTGCCGCAGGGACCAAGGGGCTGTTGTGGACTGGCTTAACCTTGGAGACATGGAAGGTAGGGTGTACTCTCATGGACCGTTGGAGTTTCAACCGGACTGTCACAGGGTTGATGACCCTCTGAATGGTGAAAGGCCCAATGAACCTCAGAGCCATCTTTTTGGATTCCACCCGGAGAGGTAAGTCTTGGGTGGAGAGCCACACCTTCTGACCCGCTTGGTAGGTAGGTGCAGCCGTACGGCGGCGATTGGCATTGGCAGTGTAACGACCCACGGAACGGAGGAGGGTGGAGCGAGCCTGGAGCCATGTTCTGCGGCAGCGACGGATGAAGGCTTGGACTGATGGACAGGAGAGCTCCCTTTCCTGGGCTGGAAAAAGGGGTGGTTGATAGCCGTAAGCACACTGGAATGGAGAGAGGCCAATAGCAGAGCAGACGAGGGAGTTGTGGGCATATTCCACCCACAAAAGTTGTGACGCCCAAGAAGAGGGGTTCTGCGAGGCCACGCACCGCAGGGCTGTTTCCAGTTCTTGATTCATGCGCTCAGTCTGTCCATTGGTCTGAGGATGGAATCCAGAGGACAGACTGGCGGTAGCACCCAGTAGACTGCAGAACTCCCTCCAAAACACGGAAGAAAACTGGGGACCACGGTCCGACACCACATCAACAGGGAGACCATGAAGACGGAAAACATGGAGCAGAACCAACTGGGCAGTCTGTTTAGCAGTGGGAAGCTTGGGCAGAGGCACGAAGTGGACCATCTTGCTGAAGCGGTCCACGATTGTCAGGATGACAGTGTGACCATCAGAGGTGGGAAGACCGGTTACAAAGTCCAAAGATATGTGAGACCATGGGCGGTGAGGAACAGGAAGAGGTTGTAGTAGCCCAGCAGGAGGCCGACGGGAGGTCTTATGTTGGCTGCAGGTTGGACATGCCTTGACGAATTCCCGGACGTCCTCTTGCACAGTGGGCCACCAGAAACGTCGGAGGAGGGCATGCTGTGTCCGTTGAATCCCAGGGTGGCAGGAGAGCTTGGAGGAGTGGGCCCATTGTAACACCTCTGACCTCAAGGCTGGTGGAACAAAGAGACAGTTAGACGGGCAGGAGCTGGGGCCCGGCTGTCCTTCTGTGGCTGCCTTCACCTTCTCCTCAATGTCCCAGGTCAACAGGGCTACAAGGCAGGAAGTAGGTAGGATGGTCTCGGCTCCAACAACAGAATCCTCTGTCCTCTGGAACTGTCGGGACAGGGCGTCAGGCTTGACATTGCGGGAACCAGGACGATAAGAGAGGGTGAAGTTAAAACGGGCGAAAAAGAGGGACCAGCGGGCCTGGCGAGAGTTCAGTCTCTTTGCAGAGCGTATGTACTCCAGATTCTTGTGGTCAGTCCATACGAGAAAAGGTTCCTTCGTGCCCTCCAACCAATGGCGCCACTCTTCTAAGGCCATCTTTACTGCCAAGAGTTCCCTATTACCAATGTCGTAATTCCTTTCTGCAGAGGACAGGCGTCGGGAGAAGAAGGCACAGGGATGGAGCTTCTGGTCAGTGCATGAGCGTTGAGACAAGACGGCCCCCACCCCAACGTCAGAGGCATCTACCTCGACCACAAACTGGCGTTCAGAGTCAGGCATCAGGAGGATGGGCGATGAGGTGAACTGATCCTTGAGGAACTGGAAGGCCGCTGCAGCTGCAGAAGACCACTGGAAGGGCACTTTGGGGGAGGTCAGAATGGTGAGAGGGGCTGCTACTGAGCTGTAGTTGCGGATGAAGCGACGGTAGAAGTTGGCGAACCCAAGGAAGCGCTGAAGCTGCTTGCGGTTCTCCGGAACAGGCCAGGAGGTAACAGCTGAGACCTTGGCTGGGTCCATCTGGATGCTGCCTTGTGCCACAATGTATCCCAGAAAAGATGCTGAAGGAACATGGAACTCACACTTTTCTGCTTTTACATACAGGGAGTTCTCCAAGAGGCGCTGAAGGACGGATTGGACATGATAAATGTGTTGCTCTTTGGACCTGGAGAAGATGAGTATATCATCGAGGTAAACAAAGACATACTGGTTGATCATGTCTCGCAGAACATCATTAATCAGAGCCTGGAAGACGGCAGGGGCATTGGTGAGGCCAAACGGCATTACGAGGTACTCGTAGTGTCCAGTAGGGGTGTTGAATGCCGTCTTCCATTCATCTCCTTCTCTGATGCGGACAAGGTGGTAGGCGTTGTGTAGGTCGAGTTTGGAGAAAATGGTGGCCCCCTGGAGCAGTTCAAAGGCACTGGAGATGAGTGGCAGTGGGTAACGGTTCTTTACCGTGATCTCATTTAGTCCTCTATAATCTATGCAAGGTCTCAATGTCTTGTCCTTCTTCTCAACAAAGAAAAACCCTGCTCCAGCAGGGGATGAAGAGGGACGAATGATGCCTGCGGCCAAGGAGTCATTTATGTACGTCTCCATGGCCCTTCTTTCAGGTTCAGACAGGGAGTATAGGCGACCCTTGGGAGGTGATGAACCAGGCAGGAGATCAATGGCGCAGTCATAGGGTCGGTGTGGAGGCAGAGAGGTGGCTCTGGCTTTACTGAAGACCTGGCGGAAGTCATGGTACTCGGGTGGCACCCCACTGAGGTCAGGTGACCAACTGGAGCTACACCCGGAGGGATGAAGCGGAACTGAGGCTTGCTGCAGGCACCTCTGATGACAGGATGAACTCCACTCCCGGATGGTCCCAGTTGCCCAGTCGATGTGCGGATTGTGAAGACGGAGCCATGGATATCCCAGGATAAGTGGCAGGCAGGAAGAGCTCAGGATGTGAAACTGGACGGTTTCATGATGATTACCAGACAGTAGCAGATGAACAGGAGAGGTCTGATGCGTGACGGTGCCCAGGACATGTCCATCTAAGGCTCGAGCAGGAACCGGGTGAGGCAAAGGAACCCGCTCAAGCCCCAGCTGAAGGACCACCTCCTCGTCAATGATGCTGGCATCAGCCCCGGAGTCAATAAAGATAGCCAAGGTGTGGGGGCCGTCTGGAAGGAGGAGGCGGCCTTGGAGCAGGGGTCGCTGGCTTTGGGGAGGTGACAGGGTAGTTGAGCTCACCAGGGTCTCCCCAACTACTGATGAGCTCTGGCTTTTGCTGGACAGCCGGAGATATAGTGTCCCGCTGCCCCACAATAAAGGCAGAGTTTGGACCTGCGTCTACGCTCTCTCTCTTCCAGGGAGAGAGAGGTGCAGCCCAACTGCATGGGCTCTGGATCCTGAAACTGCTGACCCAATGGGGTGGAGTTGGCTGCAGCAGCACCCCCACGGGAGCGAAGTGGACGAGTATGTTGGGTTCCCCCTTGACGCTTTTCTCGTCGACGAGTCTGAACACGAAGATCAATGCGGACGGCCAAGTCAATCACCCCGTCCAAGGTGAGGGAGGTGTCATGTGAAACCAGTTCATCTTTAATGTAATCTGCCAACCCATGGAGAAAGGCATCACGGAGAGCTGCACTGTTCCAACCACTTTGGCTGGCTCTGGTTCGGAAATCAATGGAATAGTCAGCCACTGTTCGTTCGCCTTGCTTCAGTCCCATCAGTCCCCTTGCCGAATCAGAACCAGAATTCTCAAACCCAAAAACCTTCCGAAGCTCAGCAGCAAACAGGTCAAATGAAGCACAGGCTCGAGACCGCCTCTCCCACTCAGCTGTTCCCCATAGTCTAGCTCTGCCTGTCAGGTGGTTAATGACAAATGCTACCTTTGCCGGTTCTGTGGCGAAGGTGCGGGGCTGTAGGGCAAACAGGAGAGAACAGTTGGTGAGGAAGGGGCCGCAAGTCTCTCGATCTCCGTCATAACGCTCTGGGGTTCCCACCCGTGGCTCAGGAGCATCGCTGGGTAGAGAAGAGGCGGGTACAGGTGCAGGAGCAGAAGGTGAAGCTTCCGAAGAAGAGGCAAATCCAGCAGATGAGGGGAGCTGGGTTAGTTGAGCTGCTAGCTGTTGCATCTGTGCAGCTAAAGCTGCTAGTGATTGTCCCTGAGTCTCAGCAGCTCGTCTAGCTTCAGCGGCAGCCGCAGTCATCATGGCCTCATGTTGCTGCAGAACGCCCTCAATTGTCTCAAGGCGATTCAGTGGTGAGGGATTGTGTGCTGGGTCCATAGTGTGGCCAGATTGTACTGTAACGGGTATTGACTGGACCCAATTGCAGCACAAACAAGCAGGTTCACTTTAACAACAGTCTTTATTGAACACCAAATCCAATGAAGCAGCAGAGTATAGCAGGTGGGTATGGCAGGATTCGAACTCGGGTCTTCCGGGTGATAGGCGAGCAGAATAGCAGTGGACCACAGGTCAGGCAAGAGTTTTAAACTCGTGAGCAGGGAATTGTCCACAGTCTTAATTTGCTCTACGAGTGTAGTGAAGGGGAAAACGCTCAACTCACAGCTGGAGGAAGATTTCTTGGAGAGTGGTTCAGGTGAGGACTGGGTGAGGATCCAGAGCTTGCAGAGGAGCTGGCAGAACCAACGTCGGCAGAGGAGGTGAGTTGGCGAGGTGAAGCTGACGAGAAGGGGGATCTCAACAGAGCAGGAACAGGCTGAGTGACATTCAGCTGCAGGCAGACGAATAGCAGGAACCAGGCAGGCAAAGCTCGTAGTCAAGGACAGAAGGCAGGTAGGTTTACCGGGGCTGAGGCGAGAAGCAAAGGTCAGGGGCAGATCAAGTCGATACCAGGTAAGCAGTCCGAGGATAAACGCTGGAGAGTCAGGCATGAGAGCAAAGACAATCTGGCAAAGAGTGAGGGGAAAGAAGCTGCATATATACTGGCCTAATTGGAGATGATGAGCAGGTGAGAGCAGCAGGTGGAAGCAGTTAGCTGATGAGGGGTGTGGCTGAGCAGCAGAGCAGGAGAGGGCAGAGCAGACTGTTACAGATACATCATTTTGTCAAATTCTGTAGTTCTTTGATCATTACTGGAGTCGTGGCGAATTAAATCACCATACCCCTCTGCCTCTGATAGGCGAATAAAGCGCTCGGATTCATGCTCTGATCTTGCTACGTGATTCAAGAGTAAAGTAAACAACAACAGAGGCAGAGAGCAACTTTGGAGGAGAAACATCCAGCCGTGTGAACAACCTCTTCATATGGAGTGCTTTGGTTCACTCTACCGGTGTTTTCTGTGAGTGTTGCATGACTTTGGGTGAGCACAGACATGAACACACTGTCAGCCACGTATTTATTTATTCATTTTTCAAGTTTTAAGTGCTGGTCTTGTGGTGGCACTATACTAGGGCAGCTGCATACCCTTTCGACACTTTATTTTTTATATTTACATTTGTGTTGAATGGACACTTTATCATGACTGCCACTTGTTTTACAGAAAGAAAATAGTTTGTTATTCTCCAGTGCATAGTTAGGGCCCGAGCGTAGCTGCTAAGCAGCTGCGAGAGCCCTCTTGTTCCTGTATGGGTTCTTCTTTAGGGCCCGAGCGTAGCTGCTAAGCAGCTGCGAGAGCCCTCTTGTTCCTGATGGATTCTTCTTTTGTTATTATTAGGGCCCGAGCGTAGCTGCTAAGCAGCTGCGAGAGCCCTCTTGTTCCTGCATGTTTCCTTCTTTCGTTATTATTTTTCCTCCGCTTTAAACTGGAAAATGGCCCACTTCCCACTGGTGAAAACTCAGGAAATTTGGCAGGAAGACCGGGCCTGGTGAAAAATTCGATATTCTGAAGTCGCCCAAACAAAAAAATGAAAAATGGCTCCATAGCGCCCCCTATGGTGAAAATTCACCTGACGCCTGTACGCTTTGTCAAAATGACACAAAATTTGACACACATGTGTATCTCAATAAGACCTACAAAAAAGTCAGCACGGGCGTATCTGTCAAATGTACCGTTAAAGGGCTATTTCGCATTTTTTGCCGATCCGCACACATTGGAACTTCGCTAACTCCTCCGAAGGCTTTCGTTCCACTGGCACCAAATTTGCTCAGGCCAATCTACACCCCATGGCCATCAAAAGTTGTACAAATCATGACGCTGCACCCCACGGTTTAGGTTCTAGGGGGCGCCAAAGATAACCCAAAAATCCACATTCTTAAAAGTCTTATAACTTTTTATTTTTGTCCTCACTGGCCTCCAAGTTTTCTAGGATGATGCAATGTCCAGCCATCAACACATTTGTGAAGGAATTTTTACTCCCCAAAAGAGCGCCCCCCCATGGCAGGTGAAAAAAGTCCATTTTTTCTTGTCCCCTAACATTAAAATAAACATTGTAGAGTGTCACGCCTGAACGCTTTGTCATATTGACACAAAATTTGACAATCACGTGTATCTCAATAAGATCTACGAAAAAGTCAAAGAGCGCGTATCTGCATAATGTACGGTTAAAGGGCTATTTCGCATTTTTTGCCGATCCGCACACATTGGAATTTCGCTAACTCCTCCGAAGGCTTTCGTTCCACCGGCACCAAATTTGCTCAGGTTAATCTACACCCCATGGCCATTAAAAGTTGTACAAATCATGACGCTGCACCCCACGGTTTAGGTTCTAGGGGGCGCCAAAGATAACCCAAAAATCCACATTCTTAAAAGTCTTATAACTTTTTATTTTTGTCCTCACTGGCCTCCAAGTTTTCTAGGATGATGCAATGTACAGCCATCAACACATTTGTTAAGGAATTTTTACTCCCCAAAAGAGCGCCCCCCCATGGCAGGTGAAAAAAGTCAATTTTTTCTTGTCCCCTAACATGAAAATAAACATTGTAGAGTGTCACGCCTGAACGCTTTGTCATATTGACACAGAATTTGACAATCACGTGTATCTCAATAAGATCTACGAAAAAGTCAATGCGCACGTATCTGTCAAATGTACGGTTAAAGGGCTATTTCTCATTTTTTGCAGATCCGCACACACTGGAATTTCGCTAACTCCTCCGAAGGCTTTCGTTCCACCGGCACCAAATTTGCTCAGGTCAATCTACACCCCATGGCCATTAAAAGTTGTACAAATCATGACGCTGCACCCCACGGTTTAGGTTCTAGGGGGCGCCAAAGATAACCCAAAAATCCACATTCTTAAAAGTCTTATGACTTTTTATTTTTGTCCTCACTGGCCTCCAAGTTTTCTAGGATGATGCAATGTCCAGCCATCAACACATTTGTGAAGGAATTTTTACTCCCCAAAAGAGCGCCCCCCCATGGCAGGAGAAAAAAGTCCATTTTTTCTTGTCCCCTAAGGTGAAAACACACATTGTTGAGTGTCATGCCTGAACGCTTTGTCATATTGACACAAAATTTGACAATCACGTGTATCTTAATAAGATCTACGAAAAAGTCAAAGAGCACGTATGTGTATAATGTACGGTAAAAGGGCTATTTTGCATTTTTTGCCGATTTGCACACATTGGAATGTGGCTAACTCCTCCTAAGGCTTTCGTCCCACTGAAACCAAATTTGCTCAGTCCAATCTACAACCCATGGCCATTAAAAGTTGTAAAAATCATGACGCTGCACCCCACGGTTTACGTTCTAGGGGGCGCCAAAGATAACACTAAAATCCACATATTTAAAAGTCTTATAACTTTTTATTTTTGTCCTCACTGGCCTCCAAGTTTTCTAGGATGATGCAATGTCCAGCCATCAACACATTTGTGAAGGAATTTTTACTCACCAAAAGAGCGCCCCCCCCATGGCAGGAGAAAAAAGTCCATTTTTTCTTGTCCCCTAAGGTGAAAATACACATTGTTGAGTGTCACGCCTATACGCTTTGTCAAAATGACACAAAAATTAACACACATATGTAACTCAATAAGATCTACGAAAAAGTCAATGCGCGCGTATCTGTCAAATGTACGGTTAAAGGGTTATTCCGCATTTTTTGCTGATCCGCACACATTGGAATGTGGCTAACTCCTCCTAAGGCTTTCGTTCCACCGGCACCACATTTGCTCAGGCCAATCTACACCCCATGGCCATTAAAAGTTATTCAAATCATGACGCTGCACCCCACGGTTTAGGTTCTAGGGGGCGCCAAAGATAACCCTAAAATCCACATATTTAAAAGTCTTATAACTTTTTATTTTTGTCCTCACTGGCCTCCAAGTTTTCTAGGATGATGCAATGTCCAGCCATCAACACATTTGTGAAGGAATTTTTACTCACCAAAAGAGCGCCCCCCCATGGCAGGAGAAAAAAGTCCATTTTTTCTTGTCCCCTAAGGTGAAAATACACATTGTTGAGTGTCACGCCTATACGCTTTGTCAAAATGACACAAAAATTAACACACACATGTAACTCAATAAGATCTACGAAAAAGTCAATGCGCGCGTATCTGTCAAATGTACGGTTAAAGGGTTATTCCGCATTTTTTGCTGATCCGCACACATTGGAATGTGGCTAACTCCTCCTAAGGCTTTCGTTCCACCGGCACCACATTTGCTCAGGCCAATCTACACCCCATGGCCATTAAAAGTTATTCAAATCATGACGCTGCACCCCACGGTTTAGGTTCTAGGGGGCGCCAAAGATAACCCTAAAATCCACATATTTCAAAGTCTTATAACTTTTTATTTTTGTCCTCACTGGCCTCCAAGTTTTCTAGGATGATGCAATGTCCAGCCATCAACACATTTGTGAAGGAATTTTTACTCCCCAAAAGAGCGCCCCCCCATGGCAGGAGAAAAAAGTCCATTTTTTCTTGTCCCCTAAGGTGAAAATACATAATGTTGAGATTCACGCCAAAATTTGACAATCACGTGCCTTGCCTGGTATCATTTTTTTCAGCACAACCTCACCTGTGCGAATTTACAGTTATTTTATCATGTTGACATACTGAATTTACACAATGGACCCAAATTCACACACAAAACATAAAATCCGAGTGGAAAAAAGTAACATTTTTACTGTGAAAACCACAAATATGTGTGATGAACTGTTTTTAAAACTTAAACTTCAAATAAAAATTGTAAACTTCAAAACATATGCAAATTTTTAACAAAGAACATAGTGATTTACCTCTATTTACATCAAAATGCAGGCAATGGCCCAGGCGTTCTTTGTAAAATTATTTACAAAACACTGTATAGTCTCACAAATGTCACTTTTTATTTATGCCACTACAAAAAAACATGATGTAAATGATGCATGATGTAAAACATGATGTAAAAAACTTGTGTAGATCCTCCTCTATGTCAGTCCATGTGTAATTTTTCCATAATTCTTTGTTTTTTGCAGCATTTTTGTTAGTGTAACTGCAGATTGTGCTGACAGTGTCTATGGCACAAAAAAAAAAAAAATTAAAATGCCTCAACATGAACCCCTGGTGGTCTCTGAGGGTGAAACCTGCTAACTGCTGCAGCTCTGTCAGCTTCAGTCTCCCATGCAGAGCTCTGAGCGCATGTGTGGCTCTGCACCCTTAGCAGCGTTGCTAACTCCTCAGTAAGGAAAGCCTGCTTCATGTCAGAGTCTCTAAACTCCAGAAGAAGTCGATAAAAGTCCGTTTCTTTCTAAAAAAAAGTCGTTAGGGGGTCTGAAAAGTCATTGAATCTAACAACAAAGTCGCTAGGTTTGCAACTACGTGTCCCAGACTGCATCCCTGCTGAGAGTCCCTCCCTCCCTTCTCATGTTGCAGGAAGAACGTAAGCGCCCGCCCCTTGTCAATCAGTCACCATATAATTTTGGATTGGTTGTTGTGGTGAAGTTTTCCACCAATAGGAGAGATGTTGTGTGTTTTTTTTTTCTTTTGGCAAGCCTTTTCCGCCTGTAAGTCCTGTCGCTAATGTCTGCATGCTATGTTTTCCTGTCTCATACAGCGCGATCGAGCGCCGAACGTGATCAAAATAAGCAGAAAAAAAGTATCCAAAGATAACCAAAAAATCCACATTCTTAAAAGTCTTAGAACTTTTTATTTTTTTCCTCACTGGCCTCCAAGTTTTCTAGGATGATGCAATGTCCAGCCATCAACACATTTGTGAAGGAATTTTTACTCCCCAAAAGAGCGCCCCCCCCCCCCATGGCAAGAGAAAAAAGGCCATTTTTTCTTGTCCCCTAAGGTGAAAATACACATTGTTGAGTGTCACGCCTATACGCTTTGTCATATTGACACAAAATTTGACAATCACGTGTATCTCAATAAGATCTACGAAAAAGTAAATGGGCACGTACCTGTAAAATGTACGGTTAAAGGGCTATTTTGCATTTTTTGCCGATTCGCACACATTGGAATGTGGCTAACTTCTGCTAAGGCTTTCGTCCCACTGACCCACTGCTCAGGCAAATCTACACCCCATGTCCATTCAAAGTTGTAAAAATCATGACGCTGCAACCCACGGTTTACGTTCTAGGGGGCGCCAAAGATGACCCAAAAATCCACATTCTTAAAAGTCGTTTTGGCCACTGAGTGGCGCCAAAGGGAGTTGTCTATTAAATCTGATGCTACAGAGAAAGTTAAAAGGCTCAAATTTTTGCTATATTACTGACTTTATGTCTTAAATGGGCTCTTAAAGGGTTAAAGAAAATATTTTCAATGAAACATTTGCTAGTTATGAACAGGGCAGAAGTAAAATAAGAGATGTACAAAAGAAAAATCTGGAAAAAATATGAATCCAATTTGATTTTAAAGCAGACAAAGTAGTTTTGGCCACTGAGTGGCGCCAAAGGGAGTTGTCTATTAACAGAAGACAAAGTAGTTATGGCCTCTGGGGGGCGCCAAAGGGAGTTGTCTATTAAATCTGATGCTACAGAGAAAGTTAAAAGGCTCAAATTTTTGTTAATTAGTGACTTTATGCCTTAAATGGGCTCTTAAAGGGTTGAAAAAATTATTTTCAATGAAACATTTGTGAGTTTTAAACAGGGCAGAAGTAAAATAAGAGATGTACAAAAGGCAAATCTGGAAAAAAATGAATCCAATTTGATTTTATAGCAGACAAAGTAGTTTTGGCCACTGAGTGGCGCCAAAGGGAGTTGTCTATTAACAGCAGACAAAGTAGTTATGGCCACTGAGGGGCGCCAAAGGGAGTTGTCTATTAAATCTGATGCTACAGAGAAAGTTAAAAGGCTCAAATTTTTGTTAATTAGTGACTTTATGCCTTAAATGGGCTCTTAAAGGGTTGAAAAAATTATTTTCAATGAAACATTTGTGAGTTTTAAACAGGGCAGAAGTAAAATAAGAGATGTACAAAAGGCAAATCTGGAAAAAAATGAATCCAATTTGATTTTATAGCAGACAAAGTAGTTTTGGCCACTGAGTGGCGCCAAAGGGAGTTGTCTATTAACAGCAGACAAAGTAGTTATGGCCACTGAGGGGCGCCAAAGGGAGTTGTCTATTAAATCTGATGCTACAGAGAAAGTTAAAAGGCTCAAATTTTTGCTATATTACTGACTTTATGTCTTAAATGGGCTCTTACAGGGTTTAAAAAATTATTTTCAATGAAACATTTGCTAGTTTTGAACAGGGCAGAAGTAAAATAAGAGATGTACAAAAGGCAAATCTGGAAAAAAATGAATCCAATTTGATTTTATAGCAGACAAAGTAGTTTTGGCCACTGAGTGGCGCCAAAGGGAGTTGTCTATTAACAGCAGACAAAGTAGTTATGGCCACTGAGGGGCACCAAAGGGAGTTGTCTATTAAATCTGATGCTACAGAAAAAGTTAAAAGGCTCAAATTTTTGCTTTATTAGTGACTTTATGTCTTGAATGGGCTCTTAAAGGGTTGAAAAACAATATTTTCAATGAAATGGTCTTCATGGTCCAGACTTTTTTCATATTGGACATGTAGTTTGTCTGCAGCGAGTGTTTTGGTAGAAACTGCGCCTCCCATTCATTATAATGGTAAATGACCACGGACAAGTGCGCACACCATCTTTGGACCTTGAGTGTGACGCGATCGGGAGGGGGAGGCGGTCGCGCTGGGGCCGGCGCGACACGGCTCGGGCCCGCCAGTGCCCCAACGGGGCCCTAGTCTTTACTTGTGTTTATACAGTGGCTTTATTTCAGTTTGTTTGTTCAAGGTTTTCAATGATGTGATGAAGGTTCCGAAAAATATTAAATAGCTTCCTTGAAAGCCACACCTGTAAGCTCTCAAATACTTTTTGAAATCTGTTTCTATCTGCCACAGAGGCTGAGATATCAGCTTTTTTGTAAACCTCAACAGTTAAAA